AGGAATCAACATGGTGGGGAGGGGGGGACAACTAGGTAGTTTGGGCTACAGTGTAACTTTGAGACCTCAGCTGATGCAACAGCATAGGCAGAGCCAAACAAACCAGTATATCTGCCAGCGAAGCATAAGTGGAGAATATAACTGTGAAACATAGCTTCCTGCAGGCAGGAAGCCTCAAATTTGTCACCTGAAATACAGGGATCTGGAGAAAAACAGGGACTGTGTCATCCTACAGAAAATTGCTTCGTACCTGTAGGTTTTTTTTGCTTTTTTTACTGTGGCAAAAGTCTCATATCAGCATTCTGGAGGAGAGGTGCTTGAGGTCTACACTAAGGAGAAAAGGAGAGGATAAAGGGAAGAAAGAAACTTATAAGACGAAAGAAAATAAACACAAAGATCTTTCTGGTAGGGATGCTGTCTTTGTACAATGTCAGCACAAGGGTGCTCTGACTATTATCTAGATATCAGCCTAATATAAATGATAAATTAAAATTATAACTAATAAGAAGACAAGGTGGAAGGAAGATATTCTCAGAAATAAAACATATTGCCATGATCGTAAAAGATTAACATTTTTCTTATTAAATGATGAGCTTGCTTTTTAATATCGGCATTATAATAGACTATACCATGAATCTCTTTATCATACCTAAAGCACTGTTAATTCATCTTTCATGAATACATTAGAAGAGAGGTTTTTCCCATAGGCAAACACATCATACGTATTTGCAAATGTCTTACATAATGATGCAAACACTATGCATAGAGAGTAGCTGTATTAGGGTGAAAGGGAGAAATAGCACATGCACAAAAAAAGACTTTCATTCAATTTCATTAAATACTTAAACCGACAAAATAAAGTAAGTCCAATTTGCTGTATATAAATCTTGCAGGCAAGGAAAAGGCTGCTGCTTAAATTTATTCTTCAGTTTAAATTCAGCTATTCATAATAAGGAGTTGATGACTGCAGATAGAACAAATGATTTGTTAACACGTCAATTGCATTTGTTCTTAAAATAAAACACTGTTCATTTTGCCGTTATATCTACCAGCAAATTCCTAAATACCTTCTTATTTGCAGAACAGTGCATGCACCATACCCTGCTTTAAAAAATCTTATTGATATACTACAGTATGGAAATGAAATTGGAAATCACAGCCATGGACGCAAAATAAATAGTAGTCATTTTATTTAGCTTGTTACCATCTAGTCTGGTCCAAGAATATTACCTTAACGGCAGACTTTGGATTCATGAGGAGTTACATAAGGGCCCTGTTGTCAAACATAAAAACAACCCATTTAGTGCCTGTTTTGCATCTACACAGGAAGTTTTCTTTCATTATCCACCAGCCCCTAGATCTTATTATAGCCATTGTTTAATTTGAGCTCTGTTTTACAAACGACACTTGTACAGGCCTCATGGGGCTGCTGATAGAAGTGTGCCTGTCTCCTTCCCGTGTGTCAATTCTTTTGTGAACCTTTATAATTAGCCACTTAACAAATTGAGGAAAATGAATCTGTGGTTGTGAAGTGCTCACTGGTGCTAAGTCAACCATGTGACAGTCCAAGCTGATAGCTAAAAAGCCACAGCACTCAGCTGTCCAAAGGGTTAACAAAACCTCATTATGGCAGGTTAATACATAGAAATGAGGTATGTGATCACCAAGAGAACCTAGAAAAGTTAGACCATTTTCTTCTGTTGAAATACACATAATTCTTTTGAAATGAAGGGCTTCAACTCCAGTGTCTGTCTAGAAGGAAGTTACCAAATTATAGAACAGAGTCACATACCATGGCTTAAAGCCCATGCTGGCCAGTGTTTTATCTATGGGACTTTATAGGCAGAACGTCAACTCAGCAGTTGTCTATGGCAGAGAAAAATGTGCCCCAGCTTTTAGCATGTCACATTTCCCATGTTCCTGTAAGATACACCACGGTTAATTTTCTGACATTAGCTTGAATAAGTAATGCTACTTCTAAAAAAAAATACAACTTGCACTCATACACACTTTTTCCCTGCAAAGTATTCTTTTATTTACTTTTGCAAAATATATTAGCTTTTTTTGTCTTGTCAACTAAAAAGCAATATCTTGTTTCAGGTTTTAGTAATCAAAACCTGACATTTATTTTCTGTGTTTAGATATTTTTTCCTGTGAAAATATGATTTCTTAAAAAGAAACAAGTGGATTTTTTTTGGTCAAAAACCTTTTTTTGCTAGGATTTTTTTAATTTGGATTATTGTCTACTGGTTCTATTGGCTGTATAGTAAAAGGTTTTCAGGGTGTTAATTTCATATGTGTATAAATACATACACACACACTTAGATGTTTTAACACATCTGTAGATGTCCACCCAGAGTTCACCATTGGTGAACAGCTATTGGTGTACCTGAAGGTGTGAAAACTTATGTACATGAAGTGTATTTTACTTACTGCTACTGCAGAAGCAACCTTTGAACCAGGAGTAGGAATCAGAATCTCCCCCATTCTCAGGTGAGTGATTTAAGTACTAAGCCCAATTAGTCATGACATCTTCTTCCTATGTAGTGGGAGGACACCAGTAACGGAAGGGGAGCAAGTCCTCCCCCTTCACCCCAGACAGATGGTTGCTCATTGATTAGGGCATCCCTTGAGAGGTGGGAATGGTGGGTTTGAACCTCTGCCAACGGAAGGGGAATTAAATTCTTTGAAGTGGGTCTTCCAGCCACTGCAAAGGAAAGCTGCAGCGTGAAGATATTTTGCCAAAAAAAGGACTGCTTTTTGAAAGGGATATAATGCAGTTATCTGAATCTGGAAAGATGATTTCAGGGTGTGGATTCGGGTTGATGTTGGCTCTTCATTGAGCAAGGCCCCTGAGCTGCTGCGACATAAAACACATTCCTCTTCTATGCATTTGAGATTAGCCAGCCAGGGCAATGTGACCACCAGTAAACTGGCTCTGGTGATTGTTCTGTTCACACTTTTGATATAAAGTACCTAACATTGTTCAGGGACACTGGGAGAGGTTTAAATCCAGAACACCGCTCCATGGATTTCACTCCAGGCTTTTATATTTCTGAATTTCACATTTCCAAAATTATTTCTATACTATGGACAGCTCACCAGCAGTGAATTCAGTTGTGGAAGAGCTCACTTTTCTCTGTGTACATTGTGTTGATATGAGCCAGCACAATATATACAGACTGTAAGAACCAAGACCTTTATTAGAGCAGGATGGTAAAGGAAGTATCTCTCTTCAGAGGTTCACCTGGAGCAGAGAGAGATGTAAATGTCAATAATAAGGTTGTGTTTCTTTTCATTGGGTAGGGAGAAGGAAAAGAAGGGGGCACTTTTCCCACCCAGGGGTTAGCGATGCCAAGCAGTTCTGCAAGAAGATGGAACACACTTCCCACCCTCCAGGCAAATTCTAACCTTCGTGGCTGGGCAGCTCAGTGGCTGCGGCGTGCTGTTACAACAGACTCTTGATTTCTGAGCACAGGCAGCAGCAAATGAGATGGGGGCTTTATGTGTCACGAAAAAGCTGGCACGTAACAAGATACGCAGCATTTTAGGCCTCTTCCAGCCTCCCAGTGGCTCATGCTGCCGTAGCATCACCACCTGTCACAAGACTTGTCCTCCTTGGTCAGCATCAGCTGGGCAGCCCTTGCAGGAAAGAGGGTGGAAAATGTTTAAAACAGATGCAGTGCAGTATATACCTTTCCTAACATGAAAGGGAGGTTGGTGGACAGAAGAAGCACAGAGATGACACAGTAGGGTTGGCCATGGCAGAACAGATACCTAGATGGGCTTTGTTGCTGGGTACAGTAGTGAACATAGTGGAAACGGCTTCACGTGCTGAAAGTGTGAAACCAAGGAGCCAAGGTGAGCAAAAGACTACTCATGGCTGTGGGGAACAGCTTGGTGTGCACAGCTGAGGACAGGTGCAGGAATGCAGAATCTGAGGGGAGAGGGAGATGCAAAATAATAAAAATCCTGCCTTCTGGAACACAGTCTTTATTGTAAGTGCTTCCCACTTCCTTTATCTTCTGAGTCATAAACTCCTCTGAGGCTAATGAGGGAGATAGCGGTATTATTTTCTCTGAATGTGGTATGTATCTACATTTTCTAGCTTGATATTATTCCACCTGACTACAGAGAATTAAATCAAAGAGGCTGCCAGGGAAAAACCAAGTTAGAAACAAAACAATGGCAGAGATGAGCTATCTCCAGAGAAATGCCAAGCGACAGGGAAGAAGTCAGGGAACTATTATCTGTGAGACAGGCACCTGCTTGTCTCCAGTCAGGCTAACAGGTATATTCTCCCTGACCAAAGCCTCAGAGAAGAAGAAAATTAAATTGTTTAGGGAAGAAACAAATCCCCGGCTAAAGAAGGATGGTTTGGGGAGTATTTATTTGTAAAAAAAAATGCTGCAGGGAGGCAATGAGAAGAAAGTTAGGGAAGGAGCAACCGCCGTACCTCCCGGTCTGGGAAAGGGGTGTCCACTCAAAAAAAAAGTTAAGAAAACTCACAGGAATAAGCAAGATTCAGAAATAGGTCTTCTGCTGTTTTATCTCCCTTGTCAGAGTGCTGTGTACTCTGCAATGAATAAATAATGCTCTGTTTTGAAGAAGTGGCCTTGCAGGTGCCAAATACAGCTGGATTTGCTGTTTTTTCACAGGTGAAAACCAGAAGGTTGTAGCCCAGTGATCTAGCCCAGGGACTGTGCGCGTATATCTAGAGAGGAGCTGTGAAACCTCTCACTAGCAGGGTGTGTTTGGGGGAGATGAAAATATAGCTCACAATATAGCTCACTACTATAGTGGTAGCCATAGCGTGGGTTGCTGGAAGTTGTACTCTTTTGCTTCTCTCACATTCTGTTGTGGACCCTAGAGAAACGGATGCCATATAGGCCAGGTGCAATGGGGTCTTCTACGCTTTTGTAACTCTGGAAATTGCATGGAGACATGAGAGTATCACAAAAACTGAGAAGCAGCAAAAAAAAAATAGCTCAGTATCCCACCTGCTTTGGAAATAATGGAAGAACTCGTCCTGGAGACTTGCAGAGATCTGGGGCCCTGGAAGACAAAAAGTATTTTAATGAGAGTTCATTAGGGCTGGGAATGTTCATTGACCTGATAAGCACTTTCACTTCTAAATAATTATTGAAATCCACTGTGAATCCATAATACCCAAAAGTGACTGCTGACTTAGTTCCATCTATAGCCTAGAAGATACATATACATCACAGGGGCAATTTCTACGCTTATATATTGGAAGCCTCAGCCATGAAATGATGATTAAAGGAAGAGAATAGTAACATATGATTCTAAAAGACATTCTCACTACGGAAAAAGCAAGGTGTTTCAGAAGGATGACAGACTGAAGCTGCTTCTGCTACAATCCATCACACTTATTCTGTGAATATAGAATATTCATACTACATTGATTCTCAACTTGGCAGGTCACATAAGCACTGAGCCCTCTTCTAAAAAATATATCTATAAACACACACATATAAAATGACTACACACAAACACATACACACACACAGCTTAACTGTATAGTTTTCCTTTCCCCATTTAATTGTTGCATTATTGATCCATATGGACTTATATCTCTTCTAAGTGTGTATCATACAAGTAACTTACAATTTACTCTGTGTTATTAATTCCCTCTGGCAAGTTGAAATTTTAAATAAAATGGCCTAGAATATATGATCATGATGAATTGAAACAAATTAGATGTATTACTCTATGTAGGAGGCAGTATTGACCTATTCTAAAATGCATTATTGGACCAATTTTAAACCAGAAGAATCACAGCAATTGATTAGCAGCTGTTGGAATGCATTTTACGTCAATACATAAGTGTATTTTCGACAGTTTTCAGTGAGCTGTTATAAAAACTCTGCAGCCTAAATTTTGCTCCCTCCTCTTCCATCTAGCTTTAATATAATTATCTGCTAATACCGAGGTGTGAATGGGCAAATCCTTTGGACTCGGTGCTACTGGTTTAAATAGCTTAGAAGGAAATGGGATTATTCAGGATTCACGCTGGCTAATCAAGAGACAGCGATCGTCTCTTATGCTTCTTTCAGAAGGAACTCTGTTGTATTGGATAAAATTCCCTTGCAGTGATATATTTTAGACATAACTTTAAAAAGTCAATCAAAAAGCAGGAGGAAATGAGCTTTTTCTCACTGCTCAGCTACATCTGCTCTATTTGTGGGACTACCCACATTAACAAGAAACCCTTTGAAAATCTTCAGGCCACAAAGCTACTCAAAAAGGAACAAATAACTAAAATCAATATTTGAGAGAGATTTTGTTTTCCCAGTATCAGGAATAAAAGCATTTAGAATATTCTTTATTAAAATGCAAGGTAACAACAACAATCACTGCTCATTAATCTCTTCATGCAGTTGAATTAATGGCCCTTTATATGTGCTTATAGTCTCTAATAAACACACAACAATTTCTGTCACTTTCTATTTAATTTCTATCAGTTACAGAGCAAAGGTTGCTCTGCTTGTAAGGGTAAAATAGCATCTATACTAGAACAGCATGGATAAAGGCATAGCATTTAAATGCACTGGATTCGATTTTATTTCAAAGCTTTTTATATACAAATAAAATCTGTGTGTGTGTGTGTGTGTACATACTCGTTTTAAATATGCAATAAAATGCATTTTTCACCTAGAATGAATTGTATTTGTCATTTGGTACAAAGCCCCTTTCAGGGAAATTGTTGATTTTTCGCAGAGGCTCCTATACTTCTCATTCCTTTTGTATTATTTCAATCAGCAATAGATATACATCTTTGTTAGCCTAATTTGGGGGCCTACAGAGCAGGAAGAAGGAAAGCACAAAGGAACACACTTGACATATTGGTCTATTTGCTACCTCTTTTAAGCTCAATGCATACTAATGAAAGTGATCCAAACTATTCTTCTCCACTCCTCACTTAACAAGCATAATAATAAATGAATATTTAAACTAGCTGCAAATATATTAAGTGGAAACAAATAGGTTTCATTTGTAACAAGTGCACACAGGTTAATTAACAAGAAGGAGCTTTTGTGTTGAAACAAGGCTCCCTGATGCTGTACATGCAGGTGCCGTTAAGGGCCAATTGAGCTCTATAGGATAATTATGAAGTACCATTGTGCTCTACCGTTTGTTAACAAAGTGCTGCCTGCAATTTGCCTAAACCTATAAACCATCATCTGTGATCCTCAGCAGCAATTAAGTGACAAACATCTTCTCATCGGAGACTTGGGAAAACAAAAGAGACATGATAGCATTTAAGGAGCCAGATGGATATTTCAGAATGTCAACCCTGACAGCCTCCCTTTCAACAACAAAATATAAACCTGGAGCCTGCTTGGTACCATGCTGAGGGGGAGAGGGGAGAAGTCACATCCAAATTATTAAGAGGAGGGCAGCGTTAATAATCATAGGAATGCTCATTTGAACAGCTCTTAGTGGGAAAGCCTTGGAGTAGCAAATAAGAGGAAGATAAAACCCTCTCCCCTCTCGGAACAGCTGTAGCTGTGTTAAGTCTGGGTTGTGGGGATTTTTTTCCTTTTAATTCTCCCTTTTAATGTCTTATCTTCACAGAAGATGAGTTTCTTCCTGTGAATAAAAGTGTAAAAATTCTTTCTTTCTTAAGAAGAGGACAAACCAACAGACAGAATTTTCTCCAGGGCATAAGTTACTAATTAGTTCTGCAAAAATAGCCTATATTAGGAAAAATGATAGATCAGCACAAAGAGGCATTTTAAAACAAGAGATCTACTCCTACTGTAAAATAATTGATCTAGAAGTTTTGAGGATGTAATCTTTAAAATGCTTCTGTAAGCTCAGCAATAATTCCAGAAGCTATAAACTTTATAAAGGCTTAGCTGCATTAGTTCAATTAATTGCCTGGTTGGGAGACCCTCCAAAACTTGTAGAAGCTCTTGTTTTCATAGATAAGGATCTTCTGGGCATTTTGTTGCCTACATTAAATGATGTTGTCTAGCTGATCTGTGTCTGTGTAATTGGTAGAGCTAAAAGGCTATTCAGTAACATGAAAAAATATTATAAATGTATGAGTTTCACTAGCTAGTATACATCTTTTTCCCTATTGCCAAAACAACAGCGTTTACAAATGTTTTCAGTAACTATTTTGAAGCCACAGCTGAGTGTGTTTTAATATACCATCAGGTCAACAGCTCTCTTGAAAGAAAAAATCAACCCAGGGCCAAACAGTCAGACAGGCCTAATTAAGTACTTCAGGAGTAGGAGAAGCGCTCAGATAACTACAGCTGACTTGACCCTTTTCTTTGTACTTCAGTGGGTTCCTGTATACCTTTGCCACTTTCCTCTGGATTTATGTTTTTATGAATTATTTAAAAACAGCAACTTCAGATCTACAATTAGTTTTCAAGGAAACAGATGTGAGAAAATAATCACAACTTAAACAGCTTAAAAATGGCTCTGATCTTGACAGAATGCAAAGTGCCAGGTTTCCAGGCCCGTAGAATTCATCACTTGGCAAAAGTGTCATTAATCCCTGTGTGCTTTCTGGCTTTTCCTTACGGTGCTTTGTCAAATGTCATGGATCACCTGGAAATCTAAAAATCATGACAGAGTATTTCTTTTATTTAACATGAAAAAAAAAAAAGGTGAATTATTTCCATTCTAAGAAAAAAAAAATATGATGAGATAAACCAAAGATAATCAATGTAAGCATGCTTTACCTTTGTATAGCTTTCACTGAATTTCACTGAATTTCACTGAATTTCTAGAGTTGGAAGGGACCATAGAGATCATCTAGTCCAACTCCCCTGCTGAAGCAGGATTGCCTAGAGCTAGAGCATGTTACTCAGGACTGCATCCAGGCGGGTTTTGAAAATCTCCAAAGAAGGGGACTCCACAACCTCCCTGGGCAGCCTGTTCCAGGGCTCTGTCACCCTCACCGTGAAGAAGTTTCTCCTCATATTTGAGTGGAACCTCTTATGTTCCAACTTGTGCCCGTTGCCCCTCGTCCTCTCGGTGGGAACCACTGAAAAGAGTCTGGCTCCCTCCTCCTTCAACCCTCCCTTGAGATACTTGTAGGCGTTGATAAGGTCTCCCCTCAGCCTTCTCTTCTCCAGACTAAAGAGTCCCAGCTCTCTCAGTCTCTCCTCATAAGGGAGATGCTCCAATCCCATGCAAAGTGCCAGGTTTCCAGGCCCGTAGAATTCATCACTTGGCAAAAGTGTCATTAATCCCTGTGTGCTTTCTGGCTTTTCCTTACGGTGCTCTGTCAAATGTCATGGATCACCTGGAAATCTAAAAATCATGACAGAGTATTTCTTTTATTTAACAAGAAAAAAAAAAAGGTGAATTATTTCAGTTCTAAGAAAAAAAAATATGATGAGATAAACCAAAGATAATCAATGTAAGCATGCTTTACCTTTGTATAGCTTTATACCATGTTAGCTCACTTTTGATGGAAAACTGAGGATAACGTATTTTGTCATGCTGGGAATTTCCTATTTGTTTTTACACTGTGTATTTTTTTAACTGTTACAAATACAAGACTGACTAATTCTAGAGTACTGAGTTCTTTTACTTCCTCTGGTGGCATCCCCAATGACCAACATTCACGCATTGTTTCCTCCTTTCCCTCTTGAAAATTTTCTCCTTTGCCTTAAGAGAAGCCCTGCGTGATGCTCAAAGACGCATCCCATAGCTTTTTGTTGGGCAGATTGATGAAGGCCTGCTCCCGGCATCTCGAAGTTCACTGGATAACCTTCTCTCAGTTCCAGTAACCCTGCACCACCACCTAACTCGCTTGGCACAGTAAGTTTTGTTTAGGGACCCTTTGACTTCAAAGCACGTACAGAGAAATAAGCCAATCCCACATCCCAATGTGCCAATGGAAATGAAAGTTGGAGTCACAAGCACCACCCTGAGAGGTAGGCAATGTCTGAAACTGTGCAAGCTTGCAAGCTGGGAATGGCAGAGGCAAAATTTTCTCCTTTGCCTTAAGAGAAGCCCTGCGTGATGCTCAAAGACGCATCCCATAGCTTTTTGTTGGGCAGATT